AGAGGCGTAAAAAGCATCCAACTTGAAGAGGATTTTTTTTTAAAGAAAAAAATTGTTGGAAAAAACTGCACTGAAAGTTAAAACACTGATAATTTTTACAATATAGGTAAAAAAAACTAAAATTTTGGGTGGCTCCAAAAGACATTAATGAATATTAACAAATATTGGATTTGCAACCAATCCAATAAAACCAACAAATATTAGTGTAGCTGGTAGTGATTTATTTTATAACTTAAAGTTGTATGAATCACTGCCTATATGAAGATTTTATTAATAAATAATCTGTAAATATATTTTATTGGTTAGTATATTCTGACCCTAACGAGTCTCTAGGATATATCAAACTTGTAGATAAACTTTCATTTATATATATATATATATATAACCAACCCAGAAAAGAATCAACTTTCATTTAATGACCACGCTTTTGCTAACAATGCAACTTATTATTATTATTATTATTATTATTATTATTATTTTTTAAAACAACTCTTTTTGTCACACATCCCGTCATTGGGGGAAATTATAAATAAAGACCTCAAATTTGTAAAGATTATTCTCTGTAACCTTCCCCCCTTAAATATCATAAATAGGATGCCTCTTGAAATTAATTGCTGAATTTAAAAGTAATACTGAGCTTGTAATTTTTTATTATTTATAGGTATTCTCTTATTAAAAATAATCATGATCAGGCAATAGACATAGACACATCTTTTAATGAGGATTCACATTTTAGTTTGTCATGTTGTCAAAGATTAGTCTCATTGGTAGCTTGTATTTTTATTTTGTATGACTTGTAAATCTTTTTATGAGAATTTTTAACACTTATTTTCCTTGTAATTTGTGAATTTCTTGAAAGAACTCGTGGATTTTGATCAACTCCCCCACTTTTGAAATTGACTACATTGAACTTGTGGGTGACATTTGTAAATTTATTTTGTGTAACTGGCAATTTGTTTTAAAAAGAAAAGAAAAAAGATTGAAAAAAAAAACAAAAAGAAAAAGAAAAGGAGGCTTTCATAAGTATTGCAATTACAGTAGCCATATAAATCTTTGAGAGGTAAGTATTTCATATCCATACTCCATGACATGCATTATATATTTTGCATCTTCACACACACACACACAGTGCCTCTTAAACTTTTTTTTTTTTATTTCTTAGATCTTGTTGGTTGGTCGCGTGAAGCATATTTGAAGATTTCGATCCTGTTTCAAGGTGAGTATGCATATTTTTATAATTGTAAATTCTGATTTATTCATAGAAATTGCAGCTTTCTTTAATTATTATAAACCAGGATTGGGTTATGTATATTAATTTTAAAGCTCTTTTCATGTTTTTATATGTTGAACATTTGAATAATTGAAGAAAGAAGAATGCATTCATGAAGATTGAACATTACAACATCTCAATCCTTAACTTTGAAGGAGATACAACAATTCATTCCTTATTTAAAGGGTGAAATACAAAACCCCAAACTATGGGAGCTAAACCTTGAGGGATTACATTGAATTTCCCTATCTCAACACAATGATGTGGCTCCTTTACATAAATTTAGAGATACCACCTAATTAGGTGATTAGACACTAATCACATCCTAATATTCCAACATTATATTTCATATGAATGTTGATATTGACATGGTTTAGCTTCCTGCAGCCAGAAAGTTTCTTGTTCAATATCATGTCAATATAAAAAGAATAATTACTTACATTTTTTTAAGGTTTCATCAATGGTTTAAGTAAGGATGTAAAAATCACAATTAAAAAAATTTATCAACAAACTTAGATTTATTTTTTAATTATTGAGACTTTATTTAAATTGAATAATTATGGTGCAATTTTTTTAATTTTCAAAAGTGATTATTTTATATGGTTAATTTAAACAAAGTGATTTATTGTTTAGAGATTTTATAAAAAAGAATAAGTTATTTTAAACTTATTACAATAATAAAAACACTTTATCTTAAACTTGAAAGTGCCTATATTTCGTGAATCTTTTTGAAAAAGGCTTGTTTTATCATGAGAAGTAATTTATATGTGTGTATGTATTAGTTACATATTGTACTTGGGCTTTGACCTTTTATATATTTTTATATTTAATCTCCTAAACTTTTTTTTATTTTTATTTACCAAAACCTTGATTGGCAAAAAATATATCATTCCAATAAAAAAGAATGAACGGTTCATAATAATGTTACTTTATTTTATATTATAATTTTTAATATCTAAAGTAAAAATAATATTCGAAGTATTACTTTTGTAAAAAAATGAACTTATTATTTTAAAAAATATTAATTAAAAATTTAAATTTAAGCAATCTAAATCTAGTTTGAACAGTCTCATCACAATAACGAGTTAAGAATAGTGTATAGAAAATCAAATTTAAATACTTTTGAAACACACATGTAAAACTACTTCATCCTTAAATAAAGCAATGATTGTTCTATGTCAATGTTGTTGGCTTAAGACAATGTTGCTTTTTAGAGTAACATCCAGTATCCATATTATAGAGTAGTTCATATGAAGAAGAAGTCAATTAATTAACTCTTAGAGAATGGTGCAGTGAAGAACTGTCTCTCCGCCTTTAGTTCTTTTGTAAGGCCTACTAGAAATGAGAGTACAAGTAAAGGAAATTAAAGCTTCCTTATGGCCGTTAAGAGCAGCCAAAAACAGATGCATCTCTTCCTTCTTGTTGCGAGCTTCAATCATTTTGTGGTTACCTTAGCTACTTCAACAATGCACGCACATATCTAGAGGGACCCTCATGATGTTGCGTAGTGCAGTGGGGTAGCGCCTCGACCATTCTATGTTTTCCTGTGCCAATAACAACCCTTTTCTCTCCATTTCATCTACTAGCTTCGCCACCATATCTCCTCTATCGTCGTTCACCACCACATGGAACGTAGTGTCATCGGAGCTGATGATTGGTGTCCTGTGAATACTTCCATCGCTTTGGTATTTCCCCAGAACACTACTAAAAAAATACAAATTAGCAAGAGAAGTTAATGAGTGATTGTTTATTCATCTTTAAAATACCAAATTAGCGAGGAAATTAATGAGGGATGTTGATTTTGTAGCTTAATTTAAAATTAATGAGAAAATAATAAGAAACTGTCAATTCCTATTTAAAATAAGATAATTAGTGAGAAAAATAGCGAGATGCTACCAATCCCTTTATAAAATAAGATAATTAGTGAGATATTTAGTGAGAGATTCTATTCCTAACTAATTATTGCAAAAAAAAAATTTAACTTTTGATAATGACTTTTAATTATATATTTAATTATTTTTATTTAAAAATAAAAATTAAATAAAATATTCATAACAAAATTATTTAATATTTAATATTTTTTATTTTAAGTTGATTTTCATTAATAAAATAATATTTTATTAAAAATATAATATAAAGAATAATTTAAATAAAATATAAATATTTTCAACATATTAACAATTGAAAATAAAATTTAAATATATGTATGTGTATTTTTATAATATATTATTTGATAAACTTATGTAGTTAAGTAATATATATTTAATTTCTCACATAACGACTGCAAGTCTCTTTCAGTTCAACTGCTAAAGAAAGAGAGTATAAGGTTTGAAAGGTAGGAGGTCAAAGGTTTAAGTTTTGACTTTAACGTAAACATAATGAATATGTGACATGATAAGGAGCAAGTGATATGGTGCAAGATAAATAATGACATGTCATGAGTTGTCGCACATATGGCGAGTGATGAGGCATGAGAGGGTAGGTGACATGGTTGTTGACGAAGCACAAGATTGTTGGTGACATGTCACAAGTTGACGCATACATAGCAGGTGATATGGTATCACCATTTTTAAATGTAGGTATATTTAGCAACAGATTAGTGAGGGATTTAGTGAGGGACTATCCCTTGCTAAAGTTAATGAAATTTGGATAGTATTAATGAGGGATGTGGCCCTTGTTAAAAATTAGTGAAGAATTGAATCTCTTGTTAGTTTGCGAGGGAAATATGATCCCTTGCTAAATTTAACGAGCCTTTTTTAGTTATGATTTTTTGTGAGAGACAAAATCCCTCATTAAAATGCAATTTAATAAGGAAAATTGGCATTTAGTGAGGGATGTTAAATTTCATTTTTCTAATGGTGAAACTTCATTCAGTTTACCTTGTAGCATGAGTTGTATAAACTGTGCATTATCATCATAATATCCATACCATTATCCTCTATAAATTGCATTTTGCAGTGATGTAAGAACCAACAACCATGTGTGCCTCTGTGTGTGTTGAACACTAGCTAATTGAGATAGTGGTGGTGGTGGTTGTCACTTAGCTCTCAAAACTCTTCATTTATCCACTGTATTGAACAAGGATGAAGGTAGACATTAAAAGTGAGTCATGAAGCAGGGGTTGAAGAAAGCATCGCTAGGCCCACAAAGAGAATAAATGTCCGTTTGTTTAGATTTAACAAAAGGTGTTGGGTGCTCTGATTTGAATAGTTGATAATTTATTTTACACCCTTTCATAGTATAGGACACCAAATGCTTCTCGAAAAATAGTTTACTATTAATTTACACCTGTACCTTATCGACAAATATACAATCAAGAAATATTAGATAAGGAGATGAAAATAAAAGAAAAAAATAATATAAAAAAATATAAGGAAAAAGGGAAACAAGAAAACATTAAGAAATTCTCAAACTTTCCTACTCCTTTCACATCACATTTTTTGTGATGTATGTTTTTCTAAAAATGTAAAAGACAACAAATCATATTTTAAAACTTACCACACATAACTAACAAAATATTTTTCCTATATACTATTGAAATCTTGGAACATGGTCGATGTAGTTGAAACATATATATATATATATATATATATAGTAGTTCCTAATTATGTCACATGCATGTTAGATGCAAATTCCAGAAGGCGTCACTACTCATGTTGCCGAATCATTAGTAGATAAAGCAATGAATGAACTTAAATACTTGTGTTGTTACAAGAGCTACGTTGATGACTTTGAAGGGGAAAAGACAAGTTTGAGTGTAAGAAGAAACACAGTCCTTAAAGATATTAAAGAAGCCAAAGACAAAAATAAAGATTAGATTAAGGATGATGTCTAGTTGTCGCAAGACAAAGCCAAAGGTCTCAGACAAGAAGAAACAAAAGAAAAGAAGAAATGGTTTGGCTTAGTTACTAATTGCTTTTGGCAGTACAAGCGAGGAAAGGAGTTGGAAGGGAAGACACAAAGGATTAGGCAACTAATTGATGAGAGTAAAAATTTCACTCACGTTGCACGTTCGACTGGGCCTCCGGATATTAAGTTCTAGTCTTCTCAAAATTTTATGCATTTTGAGAATAGAAAGTTGAAATTCAAACAACTTAAGGAGGCATGCAAATTGAAAGATGACAAGAAGTGTATGGTTGGTTTGTATGGGTTAGGGGGGACAGGAAAAACCATAATGGCAATAGAAGTAGGTAAAGAAGTTGTAGCATCAAAAGATTTTGATAAAGTTATCTTTAGTGTTGTCTTAAAGGATCCAAACTTGAAAAAGATTCAAGAAAACATTGCAAATCAATTAGGCTTGCCAATAGGTGAAAATAATAGGTGAATCTGAACAAGCACAAAGTTTGTGGAAGAGGATATTTGAAGGTGGAGAAAATATACTTATAATATTGGATGACATGTGGGAAGCGCTTACACTTCAAGACATAAGGATTCTTCCTGGCAATCATGACAAGGGTTGTTGTGTTGTTTTGGTGACCACACGTCAATGGAAAGTTTGTAGAGACATGGGTTGCCATGAGATTATTAAACTTGAGGTCTTGAATGAAAAGGATGCATCTAATCTTTTCCTATCTTTTGCTGGCATCAACACGGATAGTTCTTCCAATGATTTTGAGGATATGGCTTTAGATATTGTGGATGAGTGTGGAAGATTATCAATCGCAATTATAGCAGTGGCAAAAGCATTGAAATTTAGGCCTATAAAAGATTAGGAGGATGCTCTGGAAAGATTGTGAAATTATGAGCCAATACATGATGTTAATGAAGATTTGAAGGAGGCTTATAATTCTTTGAAATTAAGCTATGATAATTTCAAGAATGAAAAAGCCAAACAACTCTTCCTCTTATGCTCTCTCTTCCCAGAAGATTATGAAATACCTATAGAACTTTTAACTAGAATTGCTATAGGTTTGGGGCTTTGTGGAGAAGTTAATGGATACTCTAAAGCAAGAAGTCAATTCACTCCAATTAAAAATGAGCTCATAGATTCTTGTTTATTATTGAAGTCTGGACATGAATATGTAAAGGTGCATGACTTAGTTCGAGAAGTTGCTCTGTGGATTGGAAACAAACAAGTTCAGGCCATCATGGATTCCAACACAACTTTAATAGAGAATATCCAATATTCATCGTGGAACATAAAACACTTCCCTAGTCATTTTCGTGGTGGTAAACTTGAAGTTCTTTTAGCTTGGATAGATGGAAGTGATGAAAAACAAGTTTCAGATGCTTTGTTTGAGGAGAGTAGAGACCTTAAAGTTTTGGTTTTAGAAAAACTAAATTGGCTAAAATTGCAAATCTCAGCTCTATCTTTGCTTCAAGCACTTTAGGCATTAAAAAATGTTCAAACTCTAACAATAAAATCATTTGAATTGGGAGATATATCTATTCTGGAAAGCTTGAAAAGCCTCATTAGTCTTGAATTGATTGAATGTTCAATTATTGAATTTCCAAATGAAATTAGAGAGTTGGAAAAATTGAGATTGTTGGAGTTGAGGGATTGTGAAATTGAAAGAAATAATCCTTTTGAAGTGATTGGAGGATGTTCGCAGTTAGAAGAGTTGTATTTTGTTAGTTATATTGATCAACTTGACCATGAAAAACTTTCTCAAATTACAACCCTTCCAAAATTCCAAAGGTATCATATCAGGATCTCAAGTGATCGTGCTTATGAAGTTGATTTTTCAACATCTAAATATTTCAATTCAGAAAAGTTAGGAAAAAATTTCTCTGATAAAATATTTATATTCTTAATAGCAGGAGCAAAAATTTTGGAGTCAATAGAAAATAATGATAACAGAGGATGGGCAAATATTGTTCCTAATGTTGTTCCTGTAGAAGAAAAAGGCCTGAAAGATTATTTAACTAAGCTTTATTTGGAATCTTGTTTTGAGATAAAGTGTCTGGTTTATACAGAGCATCTTCGATCTACTATAACTATCTTTTCTAAGTTAGTTGAGCTGCAACTTCATGAAATGTGTATAGGAGAATTATGTTGTGGCCCTTATCCTGTTGACTCTTTGAAGCAACTAAAGAATCTAAAATTAATGGGATGCCAAAAACTAGAAGGGACATTATTTAGGGGAAAGCTAGAGCTGGATAATCTTGAGTCCATAAACTTAGAGGATTGTTCAATGACATGTCTTTTTCATCCATCTACAATTCAAAGTCTTAAGCAGCTAAGGCAATTGGAGATTTGTGAATGTTCTCAATTGAACGCATAGTAGAAGAGATGATAGATGATCATGATGATACTAAGCAACAGAGCTATGAGGTAATCTTTTCAAAATTGGAATCTCCTCAAGTTCAACTTTGTGGAGAACTAGAATTTATATTGCCAAGTTGTTTTTGTGAAGATTTTCCACTAGTTAAAAGTGTGGAAATCATGAAATGTGAGAAGCTCAAATACATATTTGGGCAATATCCAAGAGAGAGAGATTTGCATCAAATGGAAAAAGAAACTGTGCTCCAATTGCTAGAACAAGTGATAATCTGTGATGTACCAAATTTCATAATCATGTATGCAGAATGTTATCTGCCCTTGCCTTGTGCTGAAGTGCAAAAATTGAAAGAGGAAAGCAACAGTTTATCAAGGGGTCTTCTTTGTTGTTTTTGGCCAAAATCAAATGCCTCAACTATACATCACCCTTTCTCTTCTAATGCCCCTGATCTCAACCACATCCAGGTACTCATCTCTCTCACTTTTTCCCCACAATTGGTATACAATTCTTTGCATTAGGAATTAATACAATCGAAAATGAAAAATTACACCACGGCATATGGAGTTTATAAATTATTAATAACTTTTAAACGATTATGAGACATTATATACTTGTAAATTAATCACCTTATTCTTTATTTTTTTTTAAGTCTTCATGATATTGGATGAGTGGTCCAAATATTCTTTGTTGAACTTTTTATAGTAAGATAAGAATAGGAACAATTAGTCTTAAGTGATAAAATTATTAATTTATGTATTTTCTTTCATTTAGGACACTGGATGCACGTAGAAAATTGCAAAAAATTGTCCAAATATGTGCCGCGAATTACTTGTAGTTTCTTTATGCTCCAGACTTGTATTTTCGCATCAAGCTTACTATAGCGTTTGTTTTTGTCCTGCAGTTTATGTTATTTAACATAGATCCATGAATACGGCCAGGCTTCATAGCTTCTCATTTAAATTCGTTTTTCTGGACTTGCATTGGACAATTGAAAAATTTTAGTGTAACTGAATTTCTTAGCCCACCCTATTTAAGCATGTAAAAAAAAGACTCGGGCAGCTCATTTGGGCCTTTTAAAAAGGGGTTTGAGCAACCCATTTATGCCCATTTTCATTTTATCCCTAAAAAATTATTTTAAATTTTTAAATTAAATATATACTTTAAATATATGTTTATATTTTTAAATTAGAATTAGTATTATTTATTTTTAATTTTGAAAATTATAATTTGTATTTTATATTAAAAATATGTAATATTATAATGTAAAAATTAAATTTTAAAAAATTAAAAATATATAAAACATATAAAAACGAGCTTATAAACTTGTCCTTGAACACATTGAATAAGAATCGAATTTCAGAAAATAGTTGATTTTAGGATAACCAAGTTTATGGGCTAAAACTCATAAGGGCATGAACTTGATCCATCCATCTTCTGACTCTAATTTTAACAAAGAAAAGGTAATATGTCAAAATCAAAGTGCCTGGTGGTAGTTCAACAAATTTAATTGTGTATGTGTGCATATACAACTTCCTATCTCTTCTGTAGGATATTTTTTAGAAACATTTTTTTTCCTCAAAATAAGACATACTTTGGGATATTAATTACATTTTTTAGTATTATTTCTATTTAAATTCATTAACTATGAGAAAAAATATAATACAAATTTAAATTTTTTTTATTTAAATAGGAGTAAAATTGAAAGTTTATTATATTTTTAAATAAAAAGAATAAGTTAACTACGTATCCTTAATTCTGAAGAGATAATTGAATGTGCCTTATAGTAGGGATGAGAGAGAGTATATATCAATGATTGTGTGAAAGAACTAATTGTTTATATATACTGTTCTTGTTCTATTTATAAGAAATGTTTTGTGCAAATAAAAATGAAAATAAAATGTGATTTGAATTATAAGGTGTCAAACAAAAAGATGAAATGAGATTCTAATTTGATCGTTTAACTTTAGGAAAAATATGCCCAAATAATAAGACTCACTGAATATAAAAAATAATAAGGACTCTTAATGGGATTGTAATTCAATTAAAAATATTTTATATTTTTAATAGATGGGGTGTGTGTGTATAGAAACTATTTGTCTTGGGACATGTTATGTTTGTTTGAGTTGGATTTTCATTTTCGTGCATATAATATAATGCAAACGGTTGAGCCATGGAGCCAGCTCCTGGCAAATTCTTGCCTCATTATTCACCGTTTTAATGAAGTTTTTAGAGTATTGGAAATTTGTTCTTAATAATTTAACAATTTAGCATATGAGGTGTAAGTGGTATATTTTAAAGTAATTTTGGCATCTATCTTTGTTCAAATTGAAAAGAATAGAAAATGCATCTTGAACGAAAAAAGAATGCTTGAACTTTAATTTCTTTTATATATATTTGAAACTAAAATTTAGATTTCTTTTATATCCTAATGGACCGCTTTAGTCTCTTGTAATATAACGAACCAGTGTTCGAATTCCTAATGAAAAAGATCTCTGCATTTAATACCCTACATGCTTCAAATAGGATTATCTTGAAAACTAACAGTGTTATATATTTAAAATTAGAATGGCAGAAAAAAAAAATCAAATTTTCAATGCAAATTAATTGTCAAATTAAGAAAAAATAAAAATTTCTCTCAAGCCTGACAAATGTTTGAATGTAATACAAGCATCATCAAAGGTGAAATATGTCGTGGAGAGAGCTAATGAAATTTTTACACCACCTTTATATCCATACAATAGTTTGAGAAAGATGCATATACAAAGATTTTCTGAGTCGAAGTCACTCTTTACCCTCTCTGTTGCCTCATCATTAAAATTTTTGGAAAAGTTAAGAGTGAAGGAGTGCAATGCACTGGAGCATATAATAATAGACGAGGGGCGTTATGGTCATGATGATATAAATGTTAGCTCCATCTTTCCCAAATTAGAGGAGTTTAATGTCTATAACTGTGGCCATTTGGAATATGTATTCCCAGCTTTTTATTCAAAAGACTTCCAGCATTTGAAAAATGTGACCGTCGATGAGGCTGAAAAGATGAAATATGTATTTGGAGGATGTGATGCGGATCTGAATCATAATGTTGACACTACTTATGAACTTCATCTCCCAGCTCTGGAAAGCCTACACCTTTACAGTGTACCAAACATGTTTGGTATTTGCACTGAGAACTATTATGTGAAGGCACCACATCTACAAGATATTAGTTTGAGAGAATGTCCGCAACTTCCCTTGCAAACTATGGAATTTTGAGTTGATGTGCAAACTAAACAGCAAGATGATCTCTTCAGGAGAAAGGTAAGCCTCTTTATTCAACTTGTTTTTCCAGTCTATTAATATATACCAAAAGGATATTAAATTTATGGTTTTTTAAATATTTTCGCATGTCAGAGATTTTATTATTTATATGTGGCACCATGCGTGTGTTGATTTTGGTTTCTTATCCAAGCATATGCCCTCTAATACCTGCATGTACCTTTTTCACATAAGGCTTTCTTCACTTTAAACATTTGTGACTCTATTTTCCCTCATCATTTTGCGTTTTCTTTTATTGAAGTATTTAAAATGTTGAAAATTTAGAATTTTCAATATAGAATATAGCATATATTTACAATATATAATTTGCCTCTAGGTATATTTGTTTAAATTGAAATGCATAAAAAGAAAGAGGGGAAATTAAACTTCTTTTATATTTAAAGCTAACTAGCATTTTTTATTTGGAAGAGGATAATTAAACGAGAAGTTAAAAAGCTTGTTTAAATGTAAAATGTTTTAAAAATTATATCCCATTTTTCTTTGGTCCCACTATATATATATAGACAAAACAATACTTCTTATTTTTTTTTTTCAGTATACAAAAATATTAATATATTATATTTTAATCTTTTGAAGGGATAATTTTCAATATAGAATATAGCATAGATTTAAAATATATAATCTACACCTAGGTATAACTGTTTAAATTGAAAAGAATAAAAAAAGAGGGAAATGTCAGTTTAAAATTCTCTTATATTTAAAGCTATCTAACATTTCTGGTTAGAATAATAGAATTAGATGAGAAGTTAAAATAGCTTGTTTAAATGTAAAATGTTTTAAAAAGTTAAAATGGAATTTTTTTTTATGAAATTAAATTGCTTTTAAGGTTCTTCACTAATATATTCTTAGAGCTGGTAATTGGGTCAAGCCCAACAGGCTAGCCTGAACCAGCTCAAAAAAATTTAAGGTTGGGCTTAAAAAAATATTATTTTTTTACCCGAATAAGCTCAAAAAAATTAAGGTCAAGCTCGATCAGGTTTAGCCTTGACCCGAATACCCAAATAATTTTTTAAATATATTAAATATTAATTAATTTTTTAAGTATCAAAAAATATATTTATATTTTTTATAAAATAAAATAATTAATTTTAAAGTAAAAATTTAATTAAAAATAATTTTAAAAAATTCAGGTATTCAAGCCATGCTTGACTATTTGGACTTTTCAGAGAGTTGAGCCTGTTAGGTTCGATCTAATAGGCCCATCCCGCTCAAATTCTCATCTCTAATATTCTCCATATTCCATTTTTCTTTGGCCTCATCAACTTTTATATATATATATATATATATAGACAAAACAGTACTTTCTGACTTATTTTGTAATATACAAACATATTAATACATGATATTTTAATTTATTGAGGGGATAATGAAATTTTTGTTTTCTTAAGCTTGCCCTAGTCGATTTTGTTTTAAAAGTATAATCTTTATCGATTAGGTTTCTAAAATTTCATAGCCATATGTAATTAATCCTCATGGTTTAAAGAGAAAAAAATGCTATGAAAACTAATTGTATTTGATTATAAAACTTTAAAAACTTGATTGGTAAAAATTAATTATTTGTGAATGAATTAAAAGTTTTATTATCTAGTTATTATAAAGAATTCAAATGTGTTGAGAAAAAATAATAACATGTTTGGACGGAATGCAGGAATCGAAAGTCAGGAGTGATCTTAATAAACCTCATGGATATTTTGTTCCACCATTATATCAATGTAATTTGAGAAGTATATGGATAGAGGGATTTTCAGAGTTGAAGTCACTTTTTATCCTCTCCATTGCCTCATCCATGAAATTGTTGCAACGGTTGGTAGTCAAGGAGTGCGATGCACTGGAGCAGATAGTAAAAGATAAGGGGCATCACGGTCATGATGATGATACGATTATCATCAGCTCTATGTTTCCCAACTTACGCCATGTTGTAGCCTATAAATGTCGCAACTTGAAATGCCTATTTTCTATGTCCACGTATTGTAAGCTTCCAAAACTACTGGTGTTGGACAAGTCTTTGAATGCGAGCAAGCAGTTAAATTCCAAGAGCCGACCATGACAGATGTGCTTCCAAGACTAATTGGAATAAGACTTGCAAATCTGCCACCACTTCATACTATCTGTCACGAACTTGTTCTCCAAAATCCCAATTTCTCTTTAACTTCAGCTAATGACAGCAGTAAAGAACGTAAGTATTAGCATAGATGTAGTTTATCACAGTTGCTGAATGCTATGATTTGTTCCTCTCTACTATTGAAATTGTTTTTGCTTAATTGCGCAGTGTATGCTTTGGCTTCATCATTATTTCGTCGGGAGATTCTCTTGGAAGATGATCACTACTTCTTTTATGAAAAACTTGTTCAGCGTTGGACTTTCGAGGTGAGTACCAAACTTTATAAAATAGCTTAATCTGATGGAAGAGAAAAAAACACAAGGATGCCATAAAATAACCTTTTCACACCAAGCTTAACTAACTTATATCAAATTCATCAATACATAAATATAAAATTTTGCCCTGCTACTACTCATTTTGGTATAAAATCAATAGGTCCACAACTTTTCCTATTGTGTGGGCCAGGATTATTACTAATCATCATTTTCTTTATATCATGTTCAGGCGTCGAGAAACAGGACAAAGCCAGAACAGGGCAATAGTTCTTCAAATCTAGCAAATGTATATAAATTATACCTCCCTCTACATTTAATAAATCCAGTGCCTATTCTTTTCTCTTTTATTTTGTGGGCTAAGATTATTGAAGTTTATCAGTGACTTCAACTCATTTGATCTCTTTGTATACGTTTGGTAATTGCGCAGAGGGAAGAGGCATCCCAGGAGATTGTTGAAGACGACTCCGCAATCCACAAGCAGTATAGTAGTTTGCCAAATTTGAGAGAGGTACGAACATAATGCTTGTTTTGATAAAACAGCCTCATAACCCAACAAACAATTTCTCTCTCTCAATAAACCACAAATAGAAGCAAATAAAAATGTTGAAGACTGATTTTTTTATCTCGAATTAAGATATTGTGAGGGTCATTCCTCAACAAACAATCATGATTGAATCACTGGCCACAAGCAAGATTACCATGTACCTTTTCTATTTAAAATAAATTACTTAACTTTATGTGGCCTTTTGAATGTTCATCTTCATGAAGAATAAGTTTGCTAGCAAAAAAGCTAAGAATGAGAGGATCATGATTTATAAACAAGCATTACGATGAAAAAGACTTTTATTTTCGAATGTTCTATGATTATGATGTTCATTAACGATTTCACTTGTTTTACTTTGTTTTTTTTTTTAATAACTCTTACTTCTTTATATCTTCTATTTTTCTTCAGATTGAAGAAGAAGGATCTCAAAATATTATCAGAGAAGACTCAGCAAGGCTAGAACATGCAAATGCTTCACCAAATTTGGAAAACGTACTTACATCATATTTTTCTATATCTAGCAAACTTAAGAGACCAACTAATGGTAAAGGAGAATTATACTTCAAACTCATTTTATTTTCTTTTTATATTTTTTTCTGTTGTTTAGAGTGAAGAAGCATCAAAGAGGATTGCTGAAAAAGACTCCACCGCACACAAACAGAGCAGTAATTTGCCAAATATGACGAAGGTCCGTGCATTGTGCTTTTTTCTTAATATAATAACACAGACTCAAACCAATAAGTAATTTCATCTTGATTAATCAATAAGTGGTTGTTTAGTAACTTAAACATATTTTATGGTTGCGCAGAATATGAATGCAACAACAAATGAAATTGTTGAAGAACAAGAACAACTTTCTAGTTCACATACAGCGGCAACTTCCTCGTCTAATTTGGATATGGTAAGGGTCATTTCTCAACAAATACTTTCATTAGAACTTATTGAGCTTTTTCCAATTCTTAATAGTAATGACTTTGTTTTATATATAAGAGTTGGTAGGATCCTTCGATGCACCACTTGGTTATACATTACAAGTTTAGCTATTAATGAATACTGCTTCTGAATACATGGCACTAACTGCAAATTAATTTACTATTATGTACTATGAAATAGATTGTTCATGAAAGCTTAGAGCTAAGTGTTCAAGAAGGTTCTAAATTAGATGGAGCTATCAAAGAAAATCAAATCATGAATTCAAAATCAGGCAATGCATCACCAACATCATCTATAACTCCTCGGGAAATAAATCTCCACCTATAAGAATATAGTCCTTCCTGATAGTGTCACAGAAATATCAAACTTACATGTCATTTGGTGTTATGCAGGAAGTTGAAGCTGTGAGAGAAGGCCTTTCATCTGAGAAAAATGACACAGTGAGTTCATCGACTCCTTATGAACTAAAAATCTCAACTCCATGCTCATTAACTTCTACGTACTTGAAGCTTACATCAAACTAATCTATTTCTTGGTGGTTTCTTCTGTCATAGAACAAGGAGAAAATAGAGGCAAGTGCTCAAGAAAGTCCAAAATTAGAGGAAGCTGTAATGTCAAATGAAGTCCAGGATTCAAAACTCAAAACCATACCTGCACCATTTGGTAGTCCTTTACAAGTTGAATCAGCACAAGTAAGATTATCATCTTTTATTTTCATATACAAATTGATGCGGTGATCTTTAAATATTCATGCTCATATGGGCGATGAGTTTGTTAATTGTGAGCAAAGATTTATAAAGTTTGTTAGGTTGCATTTAGATGGGTGGATTTAAATTGAGAATTTGAATTTAAAATCTCATATTTGAAATTGATAAATTTTAAATTTTTTGTTTGGATGATGTAAAAAAATTTTAAATTATAATATTAAAATCCTTTGTTTGAATTCAAAGTAAAATTCTTAACTTTAAATTATATATTTGAATTTAAAAGAAATTTGGATAACATTGGCAGTTAGTTCCTAGTCAAAGTCGACTGTTTGAATGGCCAGCTTTTGTCGGGACTAGACTGTTAACGCCAACTGGGATTAGATTGACAATGATGATTGGGATGAGATGGTTGACTTCCATCAAAATTGGATTGACGGTGATGACTAGGACAGGGCCAATGGCAATAATCGGGATCGGACGGCGGACTTCCATTGGGATAGGACTGACGGTGAGGACCGAGACCTTACGGCCAACTTCCACTAAGAGGTTACTGGGATAGGATCATTGCTGCCAACCAGCATTGTGCTTGCAACTAGGATCAAATAAACGGCTCGCACCGTGACTGGGTCAACGACTTTGGCTGGGACCGAACTAGCGACTTCGACTGAGATTAGATTGCTAACGATTTGCTCACGGTCAGCGCCGGCTGTCCAATCCTATTCAGCACAAATCGCCTGGTCCCAATGGAAGTCAATCGTCCTGTCCCAGTTGTCGTGGTCAATTCAGTCTCGGTAGATGTCGACCATCTTCTCTCGGCCATCGTCATCGGTCTGGTCCAAGTGGAAGTTGTTCATCCAGTCCCCATTGTTGCCTTCAGTCCAGTCCCGATAAAAGTTGGTCATCTCATCCCAATCATCACTGTCGGTCGGGTTTCAATGGATGCCGATCATCAGTCCAGTCTCCGTGGATGTCGGCGGTCCAGTCCTGGTCAACTGCACTCCAATCCCTACTGGTGCATCGGTGGTCCAGTCCCAGTCAACTGCACTAAATCCCTACTGGCGCAAGCGGTTCGATCCCAATGGTAGTCAGCTATCTAGTCTCAATTAGAGCCGGCGATTCAGTCTCGATCAACGGTGGCAGCATTGTTCCGCAACTTCTGCGGTCCGGTCCAATTACAATTGCCTAGCCAATCAAGCCTTCGTGGATTTGGATCAAATTACACAAGAGATTGAGTTAGGATTTAAAATGATAGGGGTTTAGAAATGATTTCAAATTATAAAGAGATTGATGTAGAAATTGGATCTAAATTCATACATTTTTAATTGCCTAAACAATGGCTTTGGCTCAAATCCAAATCTAAATCTAAATCCATATATATCCGAACATAGCATTAGTGAATTCAACTCATTTTATTTCTCTTGAGATTGTTTACAATAATCTAAAGAGGGTCTTGAAATTCTTTAGAAACGCATTCATATTTTATACAGAATCAATAATTCCATCATCTGATCATTTGGACATTATGAGGGTCTTTCCTTAGCAAATGCTTTCAGTTGCATGTCCATTGAGCATTTTTCAATAAGGCAGCAATGTGGGAGTGAAAATGGCTTAATAGTAATGGTTAATTATGTTCTTTTTATGAGTTAGTAGGAGTTTCTGATGCTCCGTTGGGAATCAGATTTGATGTTGACAGTAAACTAATCATTTCTTAATTTGTGATTTACTGGCATTCCACAAACTAAGGAAACAATGGAGGAGGCAAATGTTCTAAAAGGTCAAAGATCAGGGGAGGCTGTGTTGGCAGATGAAGTCATGGATTTAAATCTTAGCAACATATCCTCGCCATTTTCTAGTGCTTCACAAATTGAATCACCACAAGTAAGATTATCACCTTTTTAATATAAATTAAATGACTTAAAATTTAGGCAGATTTTTCAATATTCATGTTCATGAAGGATAAGTTTTCCAGGGAAAAAAAATTGAGAATGAAACAATCATGATTGATCAGCAAGCACTAGTTGAAAGAGGGTTTTATTTCCATTAGAAGATTAATATCTTTGTTAATAACCTCAAATCTTCCTTCTTCTTTGTTTTTTTGGTTGAACAACTCTTTTACTTCTTTATATATTTTATTATTGTTAACAATGAAAAAGAAGCATCATAAGAGATTGTTGAAAAAGACTTGACAATGCCAAAACAGAACAATGCTTCCCCAGATTTGGACAATATTGTACACATATTATGCTTATCTGTAATCAAGCATAAACCAAATAATGATTTCTCTCTTACCTTATTTTCCTATTAAATCAAGAATTTTTAATTTTGTATGCTAAGATTACACGTTAAAGAATATAGCTTTTGAAGAGATGGCATTAAAAGTAAATTTCAAACTAATTTACTATGTACCATATATATGCTATGCAATAGGTTGCTAAGGAAACAATGGAGCCAAATGTTCGAGAAGGTTCTAAATTAGACGAAGCCAGCAAAGCAGATCAAATCATGATTTCAGATTTAACCAACACAGTCCCAACAAAATCCGCTATTCCTTCAAAAAATAAATCTCCACATGTAAGAATTTATATGGGCCTTCTTGACATGAGTCGAGTTTATCCTAAATGCTTTGTGATGGTTTTTGCTAATTTATGTTTGTTTAGGTTAATTTGGTTCACAAAGTAAGTCCATCAACTAATACACAAATGATCTCTCAATGTGTAAATAACTACTTTTATCACTCCCCTCCATTACTGTTATTACTTTATTGATTTTTGTTGAGATTAATTTTTCTGGCTTTGTGGTCTTAGGTCCCTTCAATCTCTGCTCATGGCAAGCCTCAAATAGAAACTTCAACTGCTCCCTTAGAACTAGAGTGCTCACATTCAGACCTACCAGATATTTCAGCAACTACTGAATCGGCACAAGTCTGGGTTTACTGCATTAGTTTTAGGATGTAAAATTTTTCTTCTTTTGAAATTTTATGTACTAATGCTGAAATAAAGTATAGTTTGATGTCATCAACTCGTATGTATGTATGAATGTTAAATACATAATAAATTTATTTTTAATTTACTTGAGTTAAATATATACGTAATACAAGATATTTCATGCTCGTAATTAATTCTATTGGTGAGAATGATCTTCGTCTATTCTGACTTACTCTAGGATAAGATTTGGACTGATGAAGAAAACAAGTTTGGCAAGAAGTCTGAACAATATGAAGAACATGATCACATGAGATTATTCCAAATAACAGAGGAAGGTGCTGATATGGAAGTCCACATGCCTTATGTTCATAAAATCATTGCCGATCTTCAACATCATGATGAGGTGGCTAAGGCCCTTGCTGACTTGGCAGCCTCATTGAAGATGGGTTTAAATGAAATAGCTACCTCGAAGGAAAACAGACTTGGCCATGAGAAAGCTCTCACCATCTTGTCCTCATATTTTTCTGATGATGGACCTCCCTCTAATGGCCTTCAAGCTGCAATACACTCCATGCATCAAGAAATCCAAAGTATTGTATCTTCCTTCAGCCAAGCCTACGACACCACGGACACATTCACCAAGCTCGAACAAAAAGAGAAGCTTATGATGGAACAACGCTCACAGCGAAAGGAAGTGGCCACTGCAACTTTATCTGAAATTCATAGGACTGAGAATTTAATGGTTGAGGATCAACTAAAGGAAGCAGAGCTGAAAGAGCGTATCTCTAAGTTGCAGGCTGAACTAGGTAGCACGAAAATGGAAATGGAGGAATGCAAGACCAAACTGTCATCTCTTCAACAACAGGACAGGCAGAGTGCTTCTGATGACATAGGATTCATAATGGAGTATGAGGAAGTGAAGAAAGAGAGGTCAGGCATGGTGGAAGCACAAATGAAAGCAAGGGAACAACTGGAAAATATGGACACCAAGTGGTCTTCATGTTTATCTGATTTTATGAAAACCACACTGCTGTTGGGAATTCATCTTAAGCAGAAACTTTGATTGTTGGAGACTCTTATTTAAATTTCGTGCAAAAAAAAAAAAATCTAGAGTCAAAGTTAGTAGCTGGGTTGTTGTATGTATGTGTTTTGGGTTGAGTATTATTGTTGCGGTGATTTTCTCTATGTTGATAGTAAGTAAGGGTAGAATTCTCAAAGGGAAAAAAAATAGGGGTGTGATTAATATTTATTGAACTCATTGTTGTATACATTGATTTGATGATAGTGAAGTTTTTCTGGACTTGGTCCCGTGGTTTTTATCTCTCACATTGAGGGAGTTTTCCACGTTAAAAAATTGTGTGTTTTTTCTGTCTTCTTTATCTATAGTATTTTGGCCTTCTGGTTGCTAAATTGTGACATTTTGAAGAAATTGTGAGTTTGTCACAGCAATCTATTACAAAGACGATATGGTTGTAGGTGAAAGCGATTCCCGTACAATTTAGATTTATTATCAAATTGTTATTGTCATTTTCAATTTATGATACCTAGACTTAGCAGTTGGAAAGTATATTGACTGAAGAAATGTGAAAAATGGCATCATGCTTCAAGCAAGCCACTGATACCCTTGTAAGATTAAACAAGCTTGGAGAAAAAGAGAAGTTGATGGATCGATGAGAGGAACATTCTCAAAGGTTTGACATGTATAACTAGTTATTTGTAAAAGGTATGTTGCTTGAATCTAAACAGGGATATTTTGAGCCTGTTTGGTTTCTATTTTTATTTTTTATTTTTAAAAACCATTTTGTAATATGATTTTTAAAATTATTTTTCAAAACAAAATAAAATAAAAATCTTTTTAGTTATGTCAATTAAAAAACAATTTTAAAATTAAAAAATTGGTTGATAGTGATGGTTATAGGTAGTTAAAGGTAATGATTAATAATAAAAACTAATTAAGGTAATTATGATTTTTAATAATTAAATATAGTGTATTTTAAAAATAAAAAAATAAAATAAAAATAACTTGAAATTGTTTCTATGTTTTGTTTTCAAAAACAAAAAATGAAAAAAGTTTTGAAAACAATGAAATAAAAAAAATTATTCAAATAAATTTTAAATTTTTCTGTTTTTAAAAATAAAAACCAAACAGCCTCTTTAATTCTCACGCATTTGCACTGTTTCATCATTCTCTTCATCACAAATTCAGTGCCTTCACAATCTACAATGCGTGGATTGAATCCTTTATTTAAGATTCTTTATTTGTACATGATTGATGAAGTTGAGAAAGGTTGGATTAATAAAGATAGATAGGCATGGAGTTACATTATTGTTCATGTTTTTGTCGTGTGAGGAAAAGAAGCGAAGAGAAAAAAGAAAGAGCCAAGAAATTAGAAAGGAGTTGTTGTTTCTCTTGTCTTCATGGCCATCTCTCCCTGTCTGCATAAACTGAGCTGCTCAGGACAATTGCAATGAGGGCCTTTAAATAAGGATGAAGGATCATTGAAAAAAGTTTATATAAATTAAAGATTAATTGTTGTCATAATTTAAATAAAAAAAGTTAATAAATTATTATTAATTTAAAATAAATTATTATTAAAATTTAAATGAATATATGTTGATAAAAGACTAACTCAAATTGACAAATGACCATTCAAATTTTGACCATAAATAATCTTTAATTAATATAAATATTTTTGCGTGGTCCTTCATCTTTTAAAAGAAACTTGAAAACTTGCATGTGAAAATCATAATATTTACTTGATAATTTTCTGGACGACTTGTAACAAAGAATATGAAGTAATTATTTTCCACTTTCATACGTCACTTTTTAATCATTCAAACCAAATTAGAAAAAGCAACATATGAAGTAGTTTATGTTCGTGAATTTTTCAAAAAGTTACCAACTTTTTAATATTATCCTTAATTAAATTTATTAAATTCCAAACATCTTTTTTTTATATGTGAAAGTGAGAGTATTGTTTAGGAGATGATAATTTTTTAAATGATATTCAGACTTTTCATGGGATTAATCTCACTGGTTGTAAAGATATTCTGAAAAATAAAAAAATAAAACTATTTTCAATTTAAGGACTTTAGAGAAAAAGAACTAATTTTTGGACATTTTTCAGTCAAAAAAAAAATTTAGACATTTTATGTCGTGACTCAGTCAGGGATAGAAGGAGAAAGATATTGTCCGTATGGAAATGATTTTTTGTTGACCAGCAGCCAAAGTATAATGATTGATGATGTCTCCTAATCTCTCCCATGCCCATATATCCGGAGCATTATTTTATTAGGTTCGTTATTTTCTTCGTGTGAGCCCCACCATGATTTTATTTAATTCGAGAAAATAAGGTAAATCAAAACCAATGGCCAAACATTAGACTATTTTATATTTGCCGGCCCGAAAGAAAATCTTTGTTTCAGATGAAACATTCTCCCTCTAAATTGCTAAATTTAGATTTATAGAGCTAAGAGATTAATGATGTTAACTATTTTCTATGTCAGCTCTCTAAATTTATAATTTAACCTTTTAGATTTTACAAGTGTCCTTTATCTTCATAAAGTTGTAAATTTCAAAATTTGTAAATTTTGGTAGAATATTTGTAAATCTAATGGATTGACTCGTAAATACAAGAGATTAAATTATATATTAAGAGATTGAGATGCAAATAGTAATTCATATGTTTAAATCAAAATACTTATAACAATTTACAATTTAAACATTAGATGAAAACACAAAGAAAGACTTAGATACTACTAATCTTATATATTTAATATATTTTTATTTAATCAAATTAAGATTAGTAAATTTTAACATATCAATAATATTAATATTAAGAATTTGTTATAAAGTAAAAAATATTATAAAAGAAAGATATGCATGTGTCTTTGTTTAATTGACTCTTGGCTGAAAGAAGCGAATACCATGTACGGTCTGAATAAACAGTACTCACACACATGGACCGCTCTTCCAAACACATCATTCAACGTCGGAGCCTACCGTTGAGATAATTGATTGTTCATTGTTGTGAAGAATTGTAAACAAATATGGTCTCTTTATTTGCTATTCACTACAGCTTCTGCTTCCTTTCAGCAATTGCAGTGTTCAATCTCAGTTATAATGGTTTCTGTTGATCTTCTTCTTCTTCAGATTCCCTACTCACTATTCAACTTCAGACTCTGGCCTCGCTTCTTCAACACTCTCTCAGATCTATCATGTTCGGATTTGGATCCTTCCTTTCATGTTTTTCTTCATTTATTAACTATCCTTGCTGTTGCTATTTTGATTTTGCTGAGCTTCAGTCACTGTATATTTCATTGTTGTCCTTCTTATATATTCTTGTTCCTCAACGCTTTGTTTGCCCTGCTTCTTGGTACTTGTATTCTTATGGCGTCTTTGATTTCTATAGTCCCATTAATCATTGTTGTTTTTGTTTTAAGAAGGGGGGGAAAACAATCTATGTGCTCTGTTTGTACTTCTAATCTGATTTTTCTCTAGTTCCTATAATTCTTCTTCTTCATTGAAGAAGGTAACAAAAAGTAAAAATAAATAAATTTTCTCTTAAAGATACCTATCCAGTGATAAGAGTTTTGAGCTAGATCTCTCCATTAATCATTATCGTTCCTACCACTAAACGCTTAGGTCAACTGGATAAGGAGTCATCCTAGCTTAACCAAGATCTTGGGTTTGAATCTTGGGAATGTAGCAAGCATTGTAAGTCTCCCAAGGAAGTTGTGGTAGAGGCTTTCTCCAAAAATGGACCAACTTCGTCTCAGTTCGGATTAGTCTGGCCCCATGAGTTAGTGGGCTAGGAAGCCAAATGCTATATGCAAAAAAAAAAAATCATTGTTGTTCCTATTATTCTTCTTCTTTATTCTAAAAAAGAAAAAAAGAAAAGAAAATACAAATTATTTGGTCTACTTTAAGTCCCAGTGTGTGTGTTGATATTTCTCTCTAGTTACCTTTTAGTTTTTATTGTTCATCTTCTGGTTCTTGTTCCTCCTGAAGAAAAAATCCCTATCAAAGCTCTTTATTAAAAAAAATAGAGAGAAGGAACCCAGAAAAAGGACCCCAAAAAAAGGAGAAGGATAAAGGAGGCATTTCCAATAAAAGCATAGTAGAAAAGTGTTGAAAGTTGAGGT